TTATAATTCTTAATAATCCAACTGTAATCGTAATAGATAATTCCAGGATATAATCGTTGATAGAAATATTTCCAGACTGTAAATGAATTTCTGCAGTGGCCGATCCAATGGGTTCCAATAGAGGCACTCCTGTACGCTTTTCCCAGTTCCGGGTCCCAACCAATTCAAAAAAGACAAATTTCTAGGAGAAAGCGTCTGTATTAATTAAAAAATGGAAATACAAAGCATTACCTGGAAATAGTGCTTCTTCCAGGGTTCAGTTACTCCGAAGAGTATCAGACACAGTAACAATATACTGACGCTAAGTCCAGCGGCCACTGCATCAGTCCAAAAATGTGGCGGTACTCATATAATATCAAATTTAAACAACATATATATACAATCAGAAGCAAACACAAAAACTTCAATATAAGTACAAAATATAGAAAGAATAACAATATACAATGATAAATTCTCAAATTGGAATCAAATAATATACCAAAAATGTCAACAGAAAAAGTCCGTCATGTCATAGCAAAAATATGTAAACATGGAGGTGTATTCCAAAACACAAATCATTCAAAAAGGATTCTACACCCACTGTTCCCTAATGCTAGCAGATACCGGGGGATTAACAAAAAACGGCAATTTTTCGGTGTTTTGGTTAGGGTTTTATCTGCCTTGGTAGCTTGTTCCACTGGTTTGGTGCCATGCTATTTAGGTTTTCCTTCGGGACGTTGAGCTGACTTTGGGTGGGGCCTGTGGCTTCGCCTATGCCTCAGATACTCTGCACCGTGGGCACATATACCAGAACCACAGGCAGGGGTGGCGCAACATGAACCCATGGTACTCTTTGGGTACTGTAGTGTCACAGTGATAATTGACCCATTTACTACAGAAATTGCATTCAAAAGCAGAGACTGATATTAACTGGCATTACGCAGGCGATACATTCATCCTAATGCCATTTCTGTGCGATAGACTGTATCAACTGAACCTTGTGACGCCTTTTTCTCCCAATGATATTTAGCCTACGGGCCTTTTTAGGAATAGGATTCTGGGTGGTCTGTTTGAGACCTAGTGCAGGTGTTTGGGTTGAGTGGTCCGATCTATGAATGCTTTCGAGTGGCGATTTGAGTTTTTTCACAACTCTGTCGCTCGACCCACTACTGACCACGGGTTTCATATTTCTGCATGTTTTCCTAGCTGTTGCAGTGTAAGATATGGTAGCAACCTTACTTAACCTTACTGAACATGATACCCGGGAGATTTAGGGATGAAAAACGAAATAATTGAGAGGGAAAAATACGCGAAATAGAGGTTTCGGAAGGAAAAATTTATTGATGTATATATATATATATAACTACAAAGGAATAGAACCTGAAAGTACTCCAAAATAGCAAATTTACCGTTGACCATTTTAGCAAGCAACTTCGTGTGGATCAAGTAACTTGTCCACAAGTCCTGTATTTGGGAGGGAATGAATATGTGTATGCTGCTGAAGCAACTAAGAAGAGAGTATTTGATCGAGACAGCTAGACCTACCATACGGTGGTTCTTAATTGGAATGATTCCGTTTATCCAAATTCGTACTCGGATTGTCATCCAGTGAATGGAGACAACTTTTATGTCTTCGGGAGGGATTAAATGTCCCAATTTGGTGTCCAAAAATGGATATTTTCCTGTATGTGGAGGGAGGTCAACCAAGCCAAGTAAATTTCTAAGTAGGCACTTGTTGTCATTCTTGCTATCTCCTCAGATCGTCGACTCAATCTATCTCGCCAATTACCTCTGCTTCTTATCTTAATTTGGCTTATACTTCTGTCCTTTAGCACAATCTTCACTACCGATTGATAAGCTGTTAACTATTATTTTCTTAGTCCTGAAATCTTACTATTTTTAGCATTGAGATTTTTTCCTTATCATTTTACATATTCCAACTAACTGATCTCTGGTGTAGTAATGTGATGGCTGCTGGTATCCAGAAACCCTACTGCCCTGAAACAAACGTTTTCATTCAAATCCCGAGACATACAAACTCACAACGAACTGCCAACTGACTAGAATTAGACAACCGAGTGGCTAGACCCATATCCATTAGACATTAGCAAACAAGTGGAACCGTACAGAAAGAACAAGAATCGAGCTCAAAGAACTGAGTTGGTTTACACTAGCTCATGAAAAAGATATTGGATATTGGATGCTATGCGGAGGGCTGTTTGTTTACAAGGTCTTTATTTGCTGTTGGTCTGTATATAAAGCCAATTTAGGAAGCATGAGTTTGATTTGAATTATTGGTAAATTATTCTTGGCTATTTGTTACTCGTAGTATCTAGATTTCTTGCACATCAAGTGATTTATGTGATGATTTAATATACTATTGATAGTAAACGGTGTACATGCATATCATCATCATGATCAATAAATGCATGTTCATCATTTTCGCATTTATTTAGATGACGCGTAAGCAGTCTGCTTTTAATGTGACCACTTGTCATTATAAGTATTGATTTTTTCCTACTGGTAAGATTTTGCTGCGAAATTCGTCAATACCACTAATAAACTTTAAAAAACACACTAAGCGAAAGATGCCCCTCTAAAAGGTTATTTAAATAGGATAACGAATTTTCAAGCAAAATTTATACCTATTTATCTATCCAAACATAATCAACTGTATATAAGTTCACTCAAATACATATAAGCCAAAAGGATCACTAAATTTGAGCGTCGACTAGGGCACTGCTTTAATGTGCAAAGCGAGGTCAACGCTTTTCCCTGGGGGCCACTACTTAAGTCTTTGACTTATGGATCTAATCCACAAAACTGTGAAGCCACGTTAGGAGATGCATCCCCATGGTAGTCGGTGACTAACAATGGTTCCGTACGCCGTTTCCTTTCCAGAATCATGGAGGCTGTCTGCCTTGTTGGTTCGGAATCATGGTTATCCAACTCTAGGTGGGCTATGTGTGTTGACCAATTCGAATTAAGTGCAGATTATTGGCTTTTCATCTCGTTTCCGTAAGCAACACACCTCGATAAGGTAGCGAGTAGGACTTCCCCGACGGTGGTCTTACACGTGTACTTATATCAAACGCTTTGTGTAGGGGTAATTTTTTCAGAGTGATGAAACCACGGCCTACTATAAGTGAACAGTGTTGAACAACCAAATAAACAGAAGTACATCTGAGTAACAGTGGGTTGAACATGACCCATATAATAACTATTCTGCGAGATAAGCTTGATTGCTGAAACCCTCTGTAGCAACAGTTACTGTAGCCTTTTTCAATGTTTACCACCTTGCAAGCATGTCTCTAGCTTGCCTCAACGTCACTCCATATCGTTAGCGTCATCGTTTTCTGATATGCCATCCCTTATTATATTATTATCAATAGTTAAGTTTGCATTATCGTTTGTTGTTGAAGATTCAATGTTACTCTACCTATAAAATTTTGTTTTCAGACACTATTTCACAACCGAGTGACTTGATTAACTTTCACAAAGCGTTAAATAACTAACTAAGTAATGCCCACTTACAAACAGGAAATGCCTCCTCCTGGCGGTTTCGCTCCTATTGATGTCTCCAGAAAAATTCCAAAACGTTATTTACATGGTATGTCGTTTCTGATGTGTTCAATCATTTGATTTTTTCCCTCAACTGACCGATTTACCTGCTCAAATGTAATATGAACTTTTACGATAGGAAGATAGAGTTGTGATTGTGCTGAAGAAAGCACATTAAATTCCACTTACCTATACCTCTACTTTTTCTGTCTGTTTCTTTACAACAAAATCGGCATTTTATATGTTCATTCTGAATGTTAACGCTTGCTAACCATCTGTAGTTTTAAAAGTCTCAGATCAACTAGCCCATTGACTTTTGTAATACTTTTTTAAGTGGGTGTCTTAGGGCAATAGATATTACTTGTAGGCTAATCTGAAAAAGGAAAAAAACTAGATAAATGTAGACTCA